AGAGCTTCACAACTGATACCCTGTAGGACTAGGGTTCAGTCTCATGGAATACTAAGTGTAACACACGTGCAGACAGCACAAAGTCATTTAGCTTTGCCCTGCCTTGAACGCCTGCTTTTGGGTTGCCAGCAACCTTCTCATGACAGCTATAGGAAGAAAAGCATAGAGTTGGTTTTGTTTCACTGAGATTTATTTTTGGTTGTCAGCAGGTTACAGATGAGGAAAAAAAACCAAAAAATACTTGTCATTCTATGATTTCTTCTCACCAGCTTAGGGATTCCCACAGGAATCTCTCAAGTTTGGTGCTATGGGGCAGTACTACCTGTAGCTGAGAAGGTATCTGAGCAACTAGACGGAACAGAGTTCTGTGGGTATTCCCTCAGGAATGAGGACCAGTGTCATAACCAACTTTTTGGAGTATGTGTAGTAGCTTACTTTTAAAATAGTAGGCTAAAATAAGCAAAACACTTTTGAAATTCCCAGCTCATCTCATGCTTTGCTTATGATTGCTAATATTACTACAACTGCTGACAATGTTGCTGTTTGCTTTCACTGCACCATGTAGAAGTCCTGCTCTCTATCTCCTCTGCCTTCCCATTCTTTATCCATAAGACATGTTGATGATCATCCCCCTGCGTACCCAACATCACAGCTATCACAGCTATCCTCTTCAGTGGCTCCATCAGCAGGTAGACATTGGGCACCTGAAGCCAAAGGGTCAGCCAGGGCACGCCTGTAAAATGTCCCTGGGAAGGAGGATTGCATCCTGGCCAGCCTTCAGGCACAATCTTCCCTACCCAAAGGGGAGAAGGTGAGTGAGCTACTGGGCAGGGAGGCAGCCAAAGGTGTGGAAGGAGGCCTCCAGAGTAAGAAGGCCAGCTGGGACCAAAGGGCAAGCCTTGAACTGGACTTTGACTGGACCTTTCCCTGCTGGCAGCCATGGCATCCCAGCTGGCATTACAATCAGCAAAGATCGAGACCCTGCAGGGGAGGAGACACATTGCTCCTCAGGGAGCACTGCGGAGCACTTTTACCATAGCTGCACAATCAGGCAACCAGCTCTGGTCAGAAGGACGACACATTCCAAAAGTAACATTCCCAACTGGTGCATTTATTGCCCTGAGCAGAGCAGTGCAGGCTGCAGAGATGGAGACGTGTGCAAACGCTAAACCAGAATGAGCGGCCATCTGTCACACTCATGAGGGCTGAAGTGCAGGAGATGGGATCAGTCACCCCTCAGGAGGACAATGGCTCCAGGGAGAAGTGCTGTGTCATGACAGAGCAGGCCCACTGTGGCAGCCATCCTGAATACCCCAGCAAACAGGACCCCAGAGCAAAGTGAGGATGTGTCTGAAGGAGCTGCATACGCCTTCCACCTGTGGCAGCAAAACAGCAAGCCTCCCCTGCAGTCTGAGGTCATCTGAGGAGTTGGCTGATCCCCAGACCCAAATCATACACGCTTTTTCTTCCTGAGTTACAGAAAAGCGAGTGGCCTGAGACCAAACTGTGTGACCTCCCCTCTGGAGAGCACAAACATGCCTCCTGCCAGTGGATGGTTCTCCACTGCGACAGAGCTGTCACCTCCGTGGTCTCTGCTCATCCCTCAGTTTCCCAGCCAGCAGCCCCAGTGTTAGATGATGGCCATGTTCAGCCACAAGGCTTCCTTCTGTGTCCCCACCATTCACCACTTTCAGCTCAGCAGCTGTGTCCTGCTAAGTTTCCTGCTGCAAGCCTTTTGTCCCCATTTCTTCCACCATAACCGCTGCCTAAGCCATCTGTGAGCTTATCCAGATCCTCTTCTGTGCTAAAATTATTGCACGCACACAGGCCAGTTAGGAAGGCACCTGCCCACCACCAGCTGCCTGGCAGCTTTAAGCACTGAGTTTCTCTCAGGGCTTCCTCACGTATTCCTTTCACCTACCTTGTGCCCTTGGGTATGAGTGCAAGTATTACAGGCTCACAGTGTGTGTACTCCCTGGAAGCTTCCAGGCCGTGCCTAAATGTGGAATTACTAGGTGGGACTCTCTGAACAGCTTCATGGCAGGGGGTTCCACACACATCACTCTCCACCACACACCTCCTATTTAGATGACGCAGTATCAGGGAGGAGCTCTGCATGAGGCTTCATGGCCTCCAAAACCAAAACTGAAAGCAGGGGCAGCTGCCTGTGGCACAATAGGGGTACTGGTGAGAGCCCAGCTGACGTGGGACTTGGCAGCAGCCACAGACTGCTCCGCTCACCGGGGGGGCACCTCGTCCCTCTCCAGTGTGTTTTGATTCCGCACTCAGACAGATGGGCAGCCCATAAGTATCCTCCACCGTGTCCCCCACCTTTCTAATGCTGCAGCTGTTCACGGGAGCTGCCAGGAGAAGTGATGCTGCAGGCGCCGATGTCTGGGAGGCAACAGGCGCTTCCCCAGCTGCGGGACATTTCTGGGGCAGGCACTCTGGTCTGTGTGCCAGCAATCCTTAGCTTGTCAGCAGCCTCGTTTCACAGGTGGTCTTCCCCTCTCCCTCCCTGCAGCTGATCCTGCCTGAGGGAGAAAAATGGATCCTGGGGCGGAGCGGGCGGCTTGCAGGAAAGGTGCCAAGTCCAAAGCTGCCTTCCCTTCCCACTGCTCTCGCACAGCGCTACTCCCCGAGCATCCAGAGTTGGGGGATGCAGGAAAGCCCATCTCCTGGCTTTTCGGTGCGAGAGAAAATGCCCATTCCCTCACCCCTTTGCATTCAGGCTGTTCAATGCAGTAGGGTCCAGCATCTCCACAGGGATGTTTGTCCCTGCACAGAGACCAGATCCTGTGCCGGACCTGCGTGCTTGGCCTCCCTCTCCTGCTGCCTTTGCCCAGGCACTTGGCCAGCCGTGTACTGAGGGGAAGGCACAGCCCCAGCCTGGGAAGGTGCTCACCCGCCTACAAGCCAGCAAAGGGAAGGGCTGTGGAGTTCCATCAGCACAGCGGGTCCCTACGAGCCCCATCTCGCACACACACACCCCAGGGAACTTCTAACCCATGAACGTGGAGCCTCAATTTCCTGAGAGACTGAGAAACACAGCTCTCCCATGGGAAAAGCGCTGTACCTCCAGCGATGCCTGCCCAGAAACAAGGATCTGAAGCCATGCTGGTTCTTGCTGCACTGTGCATTGGGTTCCCCTTTCTTGCACCTTTGAGGCAGAGCCACAGACTCTCACATCCAAAGGCACAGGCGCCTCCTTAGAGGCAGAGGGTCTGCCGAAGCTTGGGAAAAGCCTCAGCTGGACACCGCTCTTTCCTGTTCATCAACCGCTTCTCAGCCAGGCTGCCTCCCAACCAGCCTCGGGGCCAAGCCGCAGACCCCACGGATGCCGGATGTCGTGTCTGTGGCTGTGCTGGTGGCTGGGCGCCAGCTCTCAGCTCTCATTGCCAAACCATACTTCACCTCTAGGCCAGCTGTGTGCTCTCTGACCCAGACAGCAAGGGGCACCCACACCAGGAGCGATTCTGTCCCTGGCACAATCACACCTGGGAACAGGGATTTATCGGCTGGGCTGAGGTGGGGAGGCAGCTGGAGGCTGAGAGCCAAATCCGCCTGCAGTTCGGCAGAGTGAACCGAGGGGCATCACTGGGAAAAAAACAATTGGTCCTTACAGATGTGAGCCTCAATGCAGAGAAGAGGGCAGAGAGACCATGAGATTTCCCCATGGCTCTCATATACGCATAGATCATACAGCAGCACAGGGTCTCTGAGGTGGTTCTTCTCCACCCCTGCTGTGTATTTCCATGCACCTGCTCAGAATTTGATTCTGTGTCCCTTCTCTTGTAGACAAGTGCAACTAGAACAATTTTTAATCATGTTCGTATTTTATGACCAGGGGAATAAATAAAATGTAACATGAGATGGCTGAACAAAAAGACTGTGTTTCGACAAGCCTGCTTTCCTTAGGAAACTGGTCTAAAGAAACGACAACAAGGGTTGGTGGGTGGGCTGAGCTGGGAGCCGGTTGGGGTGTACCGGTCCCAGCTCTGAGTTCCAACAGGCATTCCTGTTGAGATGGTCTGTAACCAAGAGCCCCTCCAAGCACAGCTTGCTCTCCCTCTGAGGGAGGATGGTGGGAGAACGGTGGGTGGGCATGAGCCCTCACAGGACAGGAAGGAAGAGCAGCAATGCCTGACTGCAGAGCACATGTAAAGACAGACAAACCAAGAGGCAAAACCAGGGGCAGGACAAACCCTGGTGAAATTACATGTACGTGAGGTCTCATTCTGCAGCACGCTCTGGGGCTCAGCATAGATATTTTCCTGGTTGGTTGTGTCTTCACTGTAGATTCAGAACAATGGGCATCTTCCATGTGACCTTCTGGTCTCTCCAGAAGCCTGCTGTTAAGAAGCTATAAGAAGTGAGGTATTGACCAGGGGAAAGGGACAGGTCCATGACAGTGACGCCCTTCCATGCTGTCCATACTCCTGGCTATGAGTGTGTGGAGGTGGAGCAGTCTGAGACAGCGAAGTTTTATCCCTGTGCACATTAAATACAGGTGCCCCACTCCCATGTACCCAGGGAGACAGGGAGTGAGAGGGTGATGCTGAAGGGTCTCTAGTCACCAGCACTGCAACCAGGTGCTGGGTTTTGATTGAGCGGGGTCTCTCCGGTCACTCTAAAAACTCAGAGGTGGTACCAAATCCACAAGGGATGGCCTGGTATGTCCAGGACATCACAATGATGTACCACTGGGCAACAGAGGGGAGACAGCAGGTTCGATGTTATGAACTCCTTGAGGGAAGGTGGTAAATGATTCACAGGGGATCATGCTTGGAAAAGCAGGAAATGGGTTATCTGAGAAACCTCACACTGCAGGCTGAGCTTGAAGCCAAGGTCTCTGAGCTCCTTGCACTGTGTTTGTACCTCTGTGCCAAGCTGGGGGGCCAGTGCTGTGATGACACATGGCTCTGCAGCCAGTGATACCCCCTCCTGATGCCACCTGCCTGTTTTCCAGCAGGAAGCAGAAGCCTTCAAGAGGGCGCTGAGGACAGTCCACATTTCTGGAAGAGAAGCCAGAGTTGGGTTTGCCAGGCAGTCTGAGAGAGGAGTGAGGAGGATGGCAATCATAGCTCTGTCTCCATAGCACCCATCTCCCTGGGCCTCAGAGGAGGGTGAGAGACTGCAGGTCAGTCTGGGGTGCCTCTCTGTGGTGGGCAACTGCCTGTCTGCACAGGGCATTGGTCCTCAGGCAACCAGGACAGAGAAGCACCATGTCTGCCAGCCTCAGTGGGGAGCAGGATTGCGGGTGATCAGCCCTGCTGCCCCCAGAAATGTATGAGCATGCAAGGGCCTCAGCGGCACGTGGCTGTTGGAAACAAGCGGCATCAATGACATCAATAGTCCCAGAGCTGTGGGGTAGGGCGGAGGCCAGGAGAGCCCTGTGCTTCAGACCCTGTCATGCCTGCATTTCACTCAGGACTCTGAAGATCACAAGGGATGTCCTTGTCCGACCAGAACTGAAAAAGTATTTTCTCAGAATAGCTCTTAACCCCATCCTTAGCAAACAGCAGTGTTTTGCTCCCCTCCCATCACTTGCCTATCTTGTCCAACATGAGACCATGGTGCAAAGGCCATATCTAGTGCTAATGGAACCATACCGTCCTCTCAGTGCTGGTCCATGCTCAGGACATTGTTAAGCCACCTTTACCATGGCCAAAATTGCACCCCCTCGACCCAGTAACACCTGTGCAGCACGGCCAGAGGCAGGACTGAGACACTCCTGCTGTACTTGCAAGGGAAGTCCCAAGACCTCAGTGACACAGGCTCAGAGCACATCTTGGGAAGGGTGCCATAAAACACAACAACCAAGAGGTGCTCCCCCCCCATGTTTTGCTGCAGGCGTCCCCACAGCAGGCTCTACCATGGTATCAAGACAGCATGCAGGCACCAGGATGGGTCTGCTGCAACAGAGGTGCGCTGGGCACTTGCCCTGTGCACTGAGCCTCCTCAAAGCTGACGGGACCTTGGCCTTGATGCTCTATGCGCTGCTGTGGGAAGCCGGAAACCTGGTCAACCTCCCTGACAAACATATTTGCTTTCACAACTTCTGCCTGTGGAATGAGACAGCCCAGGAGCTGCAGTGCCTGGACTACAAGCATCTGAAGGTGATGGGCATCAGCCTACCAGGACTGGTGCTAGCCAGGGTTTCTGTGGGTACCTGCCTGGCCCTCAGCATCTTCTACCCCATATTTTTCACACATGCAAAGTGCACAGAGGAAAAAGAAGGCTGGAAGATGATCGTCATCGTACTCATCATCCAGACGACAATCCTGTCTGGAGGGATGGGTATGTTTCTTTTCCAAAGCTCGCAGTGGATTCATCGCTGGGACTTTACTGGGGCCTTCCTGGCACTGCTTGGGACTCAGGCTCTGCTACGGCTCCACACTCCCACTGCCACCATGTACCTCAGCTGGGCCAAGCACACACTCATGTCAAAGCCGTTTGACAGAACGCCCTGCCCATGGAGATTTGACAGTGAAGAACATGCAAGAGCTATTGCTAACCTGGTTTAAAACAAAACTCCCGCTATAACTTTAGCCACTGGCAGGAATTTGATCCCTAGTCCAAAGGCCCATGATCAGCCACGCTCTGACACATGGCCCTGTGCAGCAGTCCTGCAGTGAGCCCGCAGCACACACCAACACACACCACAGAGTGCAAAAGCTTCCCAGGAACAGCAGTGTGTAACACACACCGCTCGACCTGGGGCACAGGAACAAGGTGACCATTTCTGGCCCTGAGCCAGCCGGCAGTGGAGGGGACAGACCAGAACAAGCACACAGTGGACAGAGCCCCCTGGTTCTATCTCGCCCAAGTACAAGCAGGAAGAGAAGCAAACAGGCTTCCTTTCTTGGAGCTGTCCAAAGACACTGCTCCTCCTCCACCTCCTGGACTTACCAGGGATGTCTGCGTGGAACTGTGACCCTAGGAGCTGTGGGGTTCAACACTGACATCACAGCAGCAGCCTTTGAGACTGCAGAACTGGTTCTGTGTGAGAGCACGTCACCACAAAGCTCAGACCAACACAAGCCCACGAAAGGGTGTGCTTGGGGAGCAGGGTGAAGGCTGGCAAAGACTGGCCACCATAGCCAGAGCATTGCATGGGGTCTCTCTGCCACAATGGTGCACAGCACTGCTCTATGCCCTGTCTACAACCTTGCATAGAGAAGCTCCTGCTTCTCCCCCATCCCCTTCAGGGACATGAGGGTCCGTTTTCTCTCCTGCTGTGGTCTCGGTGTGGGGGATGTGGTTGGCAATGCTGGTTGGACCGATTCTTCATTTCAATAAAGGCTCTTGCACCTGCGCCAGCCTCATGTGGTTTATTCATCCCCCTTTCAGGCAGGGAAGAGGATGCTGAGCCATCCTACCAGCTCCATAGGCCACCAACACAGCAGATACACAGCGCACTCCACGCCCTCCCCGCACCATCCTCCCTGCTGTGGGAGGGGACAGCCGCCTCACTGGCCCCTTTGCTCCTGGGCAGTCACAGAGGGGCAGCGTTAGCTGAAAAAGATCTCCCTGACATATTTCAGAACATCATCTTGAGAGTCCTCCCAGCCTGTCCTCTTTGCATCGGCACCAGCGTCAGGAGGGGACGGGAGAGCTGCACTGCGGTCGCTGCCTGCCCCCGTGCTGGCTGTGTTTCCAGGAGCCTCGCCTGACGTTGGCTGGAGCTCCTGCTCCTCTTCACTCCGGGACCAGGCCTTCTCCTCTTCCTCGCGCTGTAGCTTCTGACGAAAGGGAAAACAAACAGGCCCGGCTGTGCGCGGCTTCACGCCGGGAGCCCCCAAGAGGCGGAGGTGAGGGCAGCCCAGCACCCCGCGGGACACCCCTCGCCGGACCTCGGGGGCCGATGGGTTTGTCTCGCAGCGCCGACGGACGAGAGCAGTGCTCAGGCACCGGCAGCCTCCGACAAACGGAGGGAGGGGCCCAGGCAACCCGGGCGGTGCTCGGCAGCGTTGCCAGCTCCGCCTGCCGGAGAGGGGCCGCCCGGGAGCTGCGGATGGCAGCGCTTCCTGCCCCTGCACAGCGAGGGCGGGGGGTGAGGGCTCACCTCGGCCAGAACCGCGAGTGCCGCGTTCACCAGCTCCGACTCGTTCATGCAGTGCACTGCCGCCACCGCCCTGGGCGCCGCATGGGGACGGAGGCACTCAGCGCGGGACTGGCACGGCCACGGTCCCCCGTGCCCCCAGCCCCAGCGGCCGCGTCGCTACCTGGGCCTTGCCGCCGCCTTCCGCCTTCCGGCCGCTGGGACCGGGGCCACGGCCGGCCCTTTCTCACCCGCCGTCCTCATCCAGGCTGGGAGGCGCCGCCGCCGCGGAGCCGCCTTCGCCATGCCCGGCGCGGGAGCCTCAACGGGAAGAGCGCGCTCCGACGTCATAAGCCCTCTGTGACGCGTGCAGCGCGTGTAGGGCGAGACAAGGAGGCACAAAAGTACAAAATGTAATCAGTTCTAAGTGATGTTAAAGCTTGATGGCTTTGTAATGGAAAATAACCGCGGTGCTTGAAGGTAGCTGACATACTTTCAGGTCCTCAGGACCTGAGCACAAAAAGTGTGGGAAAAGCAGAACAGAAAAACAGGACCTGGGGATGGGGAGTATCTGGGACTAGCAGATGTCCAGGGTGGGCACAGATAAACCAACTGATAAGTAAAACGACAGGATGATTGCTATGCTTGGGGTGTTAATAAACCCATTAAGCTGGTGTAAGCATCTACTAGGGAGTATCCCGGGACTAGCAGATGTCCAGGATGAGATCAGTTAAACTAACTGATAAGTAGAAGGACAGGGTGATTGCTACTTCTGTAATGTTAATTAAGCTGGTTATGAACACTGTTGAGAAAAACGACCCTTAAAGACCACCATCACATTTTTGTATGCATGCGGGAAACTTTCTGGAAAATGATGTAATATGCCCAGTGACCATATAAGGATGACCTGTATTCGGGGACACACGTTCCCCCGTGTCTCCTGGCGCCGCAATAAAGAATACCTGCTTGTCAACTTGAAACTCTGTTGGCGAGTTTGTTCCTGGAGTTTTCTCCGTATCATTTTGGCACCCCAGATGGGACCCTCTCTGCTCGGCTGCAGGACCTGCTGAGGACAGGGCTCCCGAGGGCCCTCGGGATTTTTTCCCGGAGGGACCCCTCGACTCATTCGGATCACTGCGGGAGCAGACAAGGACCATCTCATAAAAGGTATTCTTTTCTTTTATAGTCTGTAAGATGCAGGGGGCATCTCGGTTTGGTAAATTGGTCTGGTAAGTGTACACATGGTTTGGAAGCCTTCCGTAAATCGAGATAGGAAATCTCGTGGGTAAAGATGTATACCCGGCTGCTAGTGTCCGTTTCGTATACACCCACAAGAAGCAGAGGGTATCTTGTGGTTTGGGTCCTGCAAGACGCAGTGAGTGTCTTGTAGAAAAGCTTTTGGTTTTACTGGTATACAATCACAAGAAGCAGGGGGCATCTTGTGGTTTGGGCCCTGCAAGACACAGTGGGTGTCTTGTAGAAAAGCTGTTGGTTTTACCGGTATACAATCACAAGAAGCAGGGGGCATCTTGTGGTTTGGGTCCTGCAAGACGCAGTGGGTTCTGCTTTTGAGGGTTGCCCCATGAGACAATAGCAAGTCCTGCTTAATTCCGTCTTTCTCCTTAACAAAGTAGACAGTAATGCACTGGCTTAAGTATTTTCTGCTTTAGACCAGTTGTGAAGTTGAGAACTCAGCCAGCACTTCAGAGAATCATGCAGTAGAAAGATTTAGTACTTTCAGCTGTGGAATCTCCTTGGGCTCTGGGGGTACTGAGCCTAGAGGCTCTTCATGGAGAATACTGCCTGCACATTCTGCACATGGATCCTGTTCCTGTGCTCTGTGTGACATGTATCTATTTTGAAAGGGGTGAAGTGAAAGAAAGGAAGTGCGGAGGCTGGCTCAGCTAGAACACCAATTCGAACACGGTATTTCTGGACAAAATATGGAGACAAAACATCGCACTGGAGAAAGAACATGTCAGGCATGGCTTTTTAGTGTTTTAAAGAAATATCCCATTGAGTACAAGTCAAGCTTTACTGAACTCTAATGTAAAAGCACGCACATAACCCTTTGTGAGCAAATTCAAGCCTCACGACCAATTTTGCAAGGGGCTTCCGTGCATGAGCCTGTGCTTTTAAAAAGCTGCAAAAGGCCTTGCAAATGCAGGCTGCCTGCAGCTCTGCTGGGAGGGAAGGAAGTCTTTCTTCCTCTGTTCAGGTAAAGTTTGGGCCTCAAAGGGACGTGTAGTGCTGTTCTCAGTAATTCCTGGTCTGTCAAGCATGTTACTGATGAAGCAAGCCATGGCTGTGCTGCTTACATAGGAGTACGTGATAAAAGCTGACCGTTGCTTTGCTTCACGCTTTCCTTACTAATTTGCTGTGTAGTCTGAAGATGCTTCTGGAGAAATCTCAAGAGAAAGCTGATGGCATAGGTGGGGAGTCCCTGCTCAGTTTCCAGGGGGAGATAAAGGACAGCTGTTCTCCAGTGGCCAACAAAGTTGGTGAACTAAGAAAGGTGAGCTCTGGATGGTTTGGTGGATTTGAGGGGATTATTTTTTCCTGCTCCTTTTGTAGCAGATGCTGATGATGTTGATGAACATGGGTATAGCTATCATGATGAGTAAAAACCAGGAGCCAGGAGTCCCAGCAGGGCTGCTAACATCAATGGCCTCACAGGCAGGGACAGAGTCCCAGGGGCCCCGAGCAAGCAGAGCAGAGCTGCTCCCCAGACATTTTAATACTCTGCCAGCAGGTGATGAACATATCCTCAATGCCCTGCCACCTTATGGGTTGCCACAGAAGTGAGTCCTTTTAGCGCTCTCTTTGATTTCCTTTTGTTTTGCCACATGCGAGTTGCTGACATTTCCCAACAGCTGGAGATGCAGTTGAAAAAATGCATGCAGCAGGCAAGATGAAACCAAGACCTGCAAGAATAGCTCCCCATTTTACATGGAGTCAGGATGAATGATCTGTCTGTAGCACACTGGCTGTAACTTTATTGTTGAGACCTTTGAATGCTTGGGCTTTGGTATCAGGATCTGCACATTAGTGCTGTACTTCTGTGATCCACTTCCCTATGCCTCCTTTGGCCCAGCCTGCTGGAAAACTAATATGCAGCCTTTTCTTTTCCCACCCTTCCCCAGTCACTGCTGAACAGCCACCACAGTCAGCGATGAGCAGATGCCGGAGCAGAGGAACCACCAGTACCAGAATCATAGAATGGTTTCCTCTGGAAAGGACCTTAAGATCAAGTTCCAGTGCTTTACTGCCTTCACAATAAAGAACATCTTCCTCATATCTAACTTGAGCTTCCGCTGTTTTAGGTTAAGCCCATTAGCCCTTGTCCTGTCACTACAGTCCCTGATGAAGAGTTGCTCCCCACCATCATTGTAAGCCCCCTTCAGATACTGGAAGGCTGCTCTGAGGTCACCACGCAGCTTCTCAGGCTAAAGAGCCCCAATTTTCTGAGCCTGTCTTCATATGGGAGGTGCTCCAGCCCCCTGATCGGCCTCCTCTCAACTTCCTCCAACAGCTCCATGTCCTCCTTCTGCTGAGGACACCAGAACTGCACAGTACTGCAAATGGGTTCTCACAAGAGCAGAACAGAGGAGCAGAAGATAGGGGTCACAGGTAGCTGAAGGAAGCCTGGAAACCTTTTGCCTTCCACCTTGTGCAGCCACTAGCATCTAGTTCCAGGTGTCGTGGTACAGCTTGGTATTTAAAAAACAGTGTCATCTAGTATGTGTCTTAATTTTGCTGCCCAACTGGAGCACTTAGGACCTAGCACCTTTGGAGAATCAGTCCTGCAGAGGGCCCCAAGAGGGAGCACACATCTGTATCCTTTTCCTCTTGCGAAACTTGAAGCTTGATTCTGCTCAGATCAGGGACTAGCACTGAGCAACTGCTAATAACCACTTAGCAGACTCTTCCTGCTTTTTTGCAGCCATCCTGCTGGTAGTATGGGCACAAGATGGTGGGTGAGCTTCTGGAAGCCACAGAAGCTTTGCAGATCCCATGAGGATCTTGCAGATTTACAGACCACTGAGGGGAAAGGTGTGAAGAAGCAGGCACAGGCTGGAGCAGGGGGAATGATACTTCAACCTAAAGAAAAACCTTTGCTCTGGTGAGAGACTGGGGTAACTGGCACAGGCACGCTGCTCCCTCAGAGGTAGGGAGCCAAAGGGGGTCCCATGGCCAGTACAGCAGGGCAGCTTTGGCCTACCCAGCAGGAGGGCCAGGACAGTCCCAGGGTGAGCAGCCAAGGGCCCAGACTCACAAACAAGTGCCTGGTGAGACAGCAGCTTTGAGGGTAAGCCAGGAGGTCAGGCCAGGCTGTGCTGGGGTTCAGGCCCAGTGATGGTGTAGGCTTAAAGTTTAAACTAACAATAGTGTGTGTGTCTTTAACGTAGACTAGACCACACTGTTCTAACTTACTAACACGTAGAGAGAAAAGGATGTTCAGCTGCCAAGGGAAGGAACATCACGGGACTGATAACAACTAAGGAGACAGTAAGTGAGACCAAGGATGCTAGTGTTCAAGACACCAGACTGGCACCCGGTGTAGAGGAGACTGGAACAGAACAGAAGCAAGGATGTACAAATTGCTAACTCATCACTAGGACCTTGCAAGCGTGCACAAGCACTGAGGTCATTCAGTAAACACAGTGAGGAAGATTATCAGTGATCACCAGAGACCCCCACTCAACAAGAAAGCGTATGCATAATTAGAATGTAAATATTATAATTAGCTCCTGGAAAGGCTATAAATATGCATGAGTATGCTAAATATACAGCTGCTGCTGGCAAGTAACAGGTGCACTCTCCTTTGCAAAACGATGCATGTGCGCGCCCAGCACTGCAATAAAAAGTGCCTGCTTTCTAAAACTCCAAGTTGAGTCTTAGAGAGTTTCTCTGACCGACTTTTATGGTAACAGTGGCAAGCAGGGTCAGACGCTGCTGGAAGGCAACAGCCAAGCAGGCCCACAGGCAGGCCAAGGGCAGGCAGAGCAGGCGGCCTGCAAGCCGGTTTCTGGAACAGCTAGGGCCATGGCCAGGCACAGGCACAGCCAAGACAGAGCTGAGGACAGGCACTCCGTCTCCAGGTGAAGGTGAACCTGAAGACAGGGACACTGCAGCTCAGGCGGGGCCTGAAGGCCTCCACCTACACCCCAGTGGGCCTCCTGAGCCCATGGGCTGGAGGACCAGCTCAGTCTGCTGGTGAGTTACATTTGTGCCACAGAGAGCTTGTGGAGTCTCCCTGCTTGGAGATGCTCCAGACTGGAGATGGCCCTGCATGACCTGCCCTGCCTGACTCTGCTCTGGGCAGGCCAGGCCAGGGCCAGACAAGATGAGGCCACTTCCAGCCTCCATGACGCTGTGTTTTTAACACACAGATGTCTCCGCTGATCCAGACATCTCATACCGATACATACGTTCATGCAGGCCCAGTCTTATTTGGACAGACCTCCTGCCTTTTTCACAAACCTTTTGCCTGAGTCTGACCTCCTCTTAACTGTAACTGTGTCTGGCAAGAGACAAAACAACTGCAGACTGTATCCAGCATTGCCAGGCACAAAGATGGCAGCAACCGTTGCAGACACCAAGCCTTCTAGCGACGTGCTACTCGAGATTCCCCAACAGAGGGATCGCAGCTGCTATAATGGGTCAGTGGAGGCTCCGTTTTTCAGTGCTGCCACTGATTTGGTCCCATATCAGCACTCTGTTGCACAGTGGTTTGGCAAATGTATTTAATGTTTGTCGAGACAAAAGCTACAATGAGAAGAGGGACTGTGTTGCCTTCTCTCTCCCATGCAGTTTGTTCCTGTGGAGTTAACACTGTTTCTGTCAAGGCTGTTGCTCTTTCCCTTCATCACTATCCAAGTTAAGACTTTTGAGCCAGTAAGGTTGTTAATTTAATCTTCCCATCCATAGAGGCAGTGAGGCAGGTCCCACAGTCCATGGCCGTGCTCCAATCCACTGTGACAACGGGAGCTCTGTGTCCTCCGAGGGAAAGGCAGCTCTCCAGAACCTTTTCCTCACCATTTAACTAAAAGAAGGAAAACATACGATTTTAAGGAGGCAAGCTTCTTCAGCAGGGGCAGTGCACCAACAGGAAAAGCCAAAGCGTGCTACAGACTCCATATCCTTATCAGCATAAATAATTGAGCCAAAAATCAGAGAGAAGTTGAGAGTATGCAGCACACACGCAGAATTAGACTTCCAGTCTCATGACAGAAGCATGTGTTCTCAGCTTCTGACATTGGCCGAGCTGCAGGAATTGAGCAAGGCAGTCTAAGAGCACAAACTGATGAGGAGCACATAGGCCTAAGGTATAACTCATGTTAGTGTGGGTGCTCTGAATGCCCCAGATGCAAAGTAAAAATTCTAATTTGCCTTGCAATGGCTTATACTCACCTGTAATGACTAAAGAATCAGACAAGGGGGCTGCAATCAGTAACCACCTGTTGTGGTGACACAGAAATTTGGGTACTTGGAACTATTCAGCCTTACCCTTAATTTCAGTGTACACTAAGAGCAGATAATCAGGCTGGGACTAACATAGTAGCAGCAAGCACACAAGGCAGATTAAAGATCAGCATCAGCCAATAATCACAAATTTTGCAATGAACTGGCAAGTATCAGTATGTTAAAAAAAAAAAAAAAAACCACAAAACTTCATCCTAGGCACCTGGGCACTAAGGAAAACTGCTGCAGCTAAGCTGAAGAACATGCAGCATCCATACTCTGCCTACATACGGAAAGCTAAACACATACAAGGGGTTCAAACACTTGCTAAACACCACATCAAACTGAGCAGCAGCTTTCACAGAGCAGGGATGGGTACATGCTGCTCAAGAGCCTCTAGTTGCTGGTGTTGCAGGCTTGTAACAAGAGCTTGTACGGATGCGTAAGAGCATTCCCCACCACTTCTCAGACTTACTTTAAAAATTACTCCCCCAGTAGAGGAGCACGTCAACATATAGTTGCCTTCAGAGTCAAAAGCAAAAAGCCTTCCTCGTGGGAACTGGACTTGCTTGTAGCCACTGTACCCAGACAGAACAAAAGGACCTGTAGCTTCGGTGGGAAGATGGTACTCAGACACCTTCAAGCCACTTCTGTGAATATTCCACTGAATAAACTAGAACGACAAAAAGGGATTACAAAAGCCCATAGTTACATTGACTGGGATGAAAGCAGAGGGGCCATTCCTCTTTTAAGCCAACTGGCTATTCCTCACAAACAGAATATGGCATTTTGACATGCGTATCTAAGTGACTATAAAACACAAGCCGCAAAGGCTGCAGGCTGCCTACTATCCAGGCAAGCATAGGCTCTAGCTTCCACTAGTACTGCTGCCTATGTGTCCTTCCACATTGCATGCAGTATCCTGGTGGGAATTTACTTAACTCTCACCAGCCCCACCTTCAGGCAGGTGGATCCCTCCCTGAGCCACATCTCTACTGCTCAAGACTGTGGAACTGCAGAAATTGAAGCCTTTTATTATAAGCAACTATAAGGGAGCTGCTGACAAGGAAATTTATACAAAGTGGTCAAAGACCTGCTCCTTGGTGAATCCCCAGATCTGTAATGTGGTGATGTCAGGGGCACAGAAAGGTCATCTTCACATGGATTCCCTAGGAAGCGGATGTTACCAATAGGAGGATCTGCAGACAAGGTCTGAGGCAGCTCCAGCTGTTAATATACTTTCCAGCCGTTAATATACTTTCCAGCCACTCTCTCTACAGAAATTGCACGGAGCAGGATGGTGCTGCACACTGAAATTACAGTCAGCAGCCCGCAGATCCCCAGATTCTGAGGCTATTTTTACTGCTATCCCCACCACATAGAGAAGACTCCAGAAGGTATCTCAGTCAGCTGAGCAATAGGTGGTCATCCAGAGCCTACCTTGCCATCCTCGCCTATGCTGTAGACTGTGTTCTCATCACAGCTGAACTCAACAGAGTAGACTTCCCCATCGTGTGCCTTCCAGCTCATGGCGCACTCATGCTGCTGCATATCTGAGGGGAGAGCCAGAACTGAACACAACTCATACTCACACAGAACTGAGCTGAAGAGAGAGAAGTCCTTTACGTTCATAAGGTCTCTGCCCCAGCCCTCTAAACCAGTCTGGGGGAGCTCAAGAGACAATCCTAGCACCCTGTGCTTATCCTCCTGCATGTGGCTTTTACACTGATCACAAAAAAATCATTGCCTGTAATTAGGCACCTCTTCCCCTAACTTTACAGGGCTGCTCACTGTCAACTGCAGGCATTCTGCATCTACGCCCCACTGACACC